TGTGAATTGTGGCTCCTGGCTTGCATATGCATCTTGCCATGGTTTATATTCCTTCTGGAATCCTCTAAAATGTCATTCTCAAAATGGAAGGATAAAGACTTTTCTCTGTGCAATATGGCATGTGGGTAGTCAGCTGAGTTCAGTTATTAGTTGCCTATTGACAGAGCTGGTCTGTGGCAGTGACGGGGATTGAACAGTGGCAGTACGTGACCAAGAGTCAAGAAACAGTGATCAGATTTCAAGGAGAGAATGATTAGTGTGGAAACTAGTGACCAAGGATTAAATGAGCTAGATTTGTGATTCATATCTGTGAAGAGGGGTCCGCAGTGGCCGCGGGGGTCTGAGGCGTGGGCCTTGTGCCGCTTGGTCGCTGGGACCGTGGGTTCGAATCCCACTCAAGCCATGGATCTTTGTCTGCGTTTTTCTGTGTCGTGCTGTCCTGTGTACAGGAAGAGGCCTTGCGAAGGGACAATCCCTCGTCAAAGGAGTCCTACCGAATGTCTATAGATCAAGCCAACGAAAAAAGTTGGGACCCGCAGTGCTCAGGCACTTGAAGAACGGGTCGTTCCCAGTATCTGTGAAGAACTGCAAGCAAGATAATAATTTGTAATCACTGTGAGATTAACAATTAAAAATTATGTTCCAGTAATCTGCGAATCATGTACCATATGAACAAAATTAAGAAACATTAGTGTTCATTCCCATTTGTTGCTGATTAGCAAGTAAGTCTAGTCCCCAAATATCTGCATCTCTGACTTACTTTGTAACATAAAAGCTCTCATCTTCTTTCTGCTTTTGTTTTCTGGCATCCTCTTGTTGTCTCCAAACTGCTACCATTTGACTCAGAAGCTGTGTCATTTTCATCCAAATTTCATATTTTAGTTCACCTCTGATCATTACAAGATTCTTCAGTTCTTCAAGACTTGATTTATATAACCTATAAATACAAGAGACAGAACACTGTACACACAACATTTATGAACCCCTGATGGATCACTGCATAATGGCGACTAATCCACTAAGAGTTCATTACAAACTGACACCAATATAAAGATATATCTCAGGCTGAAGGAGGAGTTAACCTGAGTGACAGTTCATTGCGTTTAATTTCCAATTCATTTGATCTGAGAGTATTTAGTGATGTTTCATCTCCTGTGTAAAAGGACGATCAATAGGGAAACCACTAGGTGACTTCTACATATGAGACAGCAATGACAACCATTACAAAAGTTTCAAAATTTATCCACCACATGGAAATTCTAGAAAACAGTCCTGAATTTTCTGAACAGGATAAACAATAACAGATATCATAGTGCAATTCTTCTTGAGCAGTTAAAAGCCATTCAGTTAGTCAGGGAATTTCCCTACTTTCATGACACCCAGAAGTATATTACTATGTTAACAACAGCCTATCAATTATTTATTTTAATCCGTCTTATCACAATATTTAAAATTTCTTATAATTAAGATAATAAAATATCATTGATGTTCCATATCGATTGATCGATTTACATTTTGGAACATCCTTTACACAACATGTTTCAGTTTTATAAAACCATCATCAGGTGTAAAAGATTTACGAACTTAAAACTCAAATATGATTCCATTTGGTGATGTTTCATGCCATTTGTTTTTCAGTTTTGGGCGAGGTGTTGTCTTTTCTTAAATTTTATCAGATGTACATATCGGTCCTAGATGTAGGAGTGATTGTTCCGATATGTCCAGAAGTACGACTGTCCTGTCACTAAGCCCTATTATAAGCCAATTAATTCAGTTTTGAAAATCATACATTATCGCTGGCCATCTCATCCTTTTTGATATGATCACCACAATAATGTCTCTTCTCAGCCACATTCTCAAAAGATTTACGAACAATATATGTATTACAAATGTATCCCGCATTCTTGTGATGAGTAACGAACATTTACTTAGTTTATACTGCATTCACTTCTAGATAAACCTCCTTACTAGAAATTAACAAGAATTTATGATTTTTCTTCATGGAATATCATTTTCACCTGAGCAAATTACCATTACCAGCACAGGAAAACTGGGGTAATCCATTCTACCAGAATCCTTTGTTATTTCTACAGACCTTCCTTATGGCGTACTTTTAAGCTTTTTTTTTTTTTAGTGTTCTGTCTGACGACAGGTCCATATGAACAGGATCCTTCCATCCTTTTCTCGGACTGGGACCTGTTCATATACGTTCTTGGCAGATGATCCAGAAGTGCTTTGCCATTGCCTTCTTCTGTGTGTGAATGGAGTAATGGTTGGGATGCCACGGAGGAAAACCCCGTGTTGCCTAGACCACGGCCTTGCCAAACACAAGTTATAAATTCGGGCACCACCGGGAATCGAACCCGAGACCCCAGGATTACAAGGCCAGCCTTCTAACCGCTAGACCACCGTGGCA